CTGCCAAAGTAATCAAACAATATAGATTCGCAGGAATTTTGACATTTCTTACGCCGTACTTACAACAGAAGGAGTAAGTTCAAGCTAATTTGAAACCAATCAATCCATCCATCAATATATCAATCTATCAATCAATCAATCAATCCAAATTTTAAATGTACATTTCCAATTCGTACATTCAAAGTGCTTTGCATGTAAAGAGTAAAATACATTTGAACTAACCACAAATATACACTGTTCAGTTTAATAGGCATATTGCAAGGTAACACACATTATCAAAAAGGGTAAATTATTTATTAATTTATTTCCAGAAAAAAAGAAAATACAGTATGTATTACATATGCCAAAATCATTGCATGCTTAACAATGGAATTAACAATAACAAGAAGTAAACATCAAGAATTGCATCACACATGTCTCAATAGGAAAATAAAAAAAGAATTGGATATGTTACAGCAAATGGACAAAATATGAGAATTAATATATATCCATTTTATTCATTGTTTCCATTGTAGGACTTCAAGTAACCTCGATGTAGAACCAGCCAACACTGAAATAAGTGATGAGGAAACTTTCGACAGCATTGTAGACAACATAACAGAAGAAAGTTTTTGATTTGATTATAATGATGATGATTACCACCAATCGCAACAGCCCCATGAGCAGCAACAACAACAACCACAGCAGATGCAACAAAAAAAAAGATGAAGAGATGACAATGCCGATGCATCAGTATCAACATCGACTCCATTAAAGAAGAAAAGAAAGAGTGATGCCAGTTTTGACTTTGACAAATCCCTATTAGAATATTTAGAGCAGAAAAGGGCTCCTTTTACCACAGAAGATGACATCCATCCACACCTTTTTCATGTCTATGGGGGAGACAATAAGGCAGCTGCCAGATAGAGTGAGGGCCGAACTTAAATTAAAAATACACAGACTGATACATGAAGCTGAGATGGATGCCTTGTATTAAGGGATCACGATCAGAAGTCCAACACCTGTCTCTTATACACATCTAGATGTGTATAAGAGACAGCTATTACCCAGTAGTGTTTCAGATTTTTTTCATAGTATTTTTTGGCTAAAGACATTGCCAGTTTTTCCTTCCCACTTATGCCTTTTAGGAAAACGATTTCTTCCTTCTCTATATCATCTCGAATTGAACCAAGAATGGTATAAATTTTTGTTCAAACATTTTAAAATATTTATAGAAGTTATCTTAA